GATATGACAATGGACACAAATTCTTTGAGTTTTTACCCCTGTAGAATTTAATTTTGGGGAGTTAACAAGATTTAGGTTTATATCCTAGCTGTGTTCTCTGATCATCAGCAAATAAATTCTTACAATGTTGGTTTTCTTTTCTAATAGCATAAACAATTTCTCTCATTGATTCAACATGGTAGAAAGGGTGCAGGGTTTACCTCTATTCTTTAAAATTTCACTGAGGAAGAGAAAAGGAATAAACTGACAAAAATAAAAATTATAAGAGAAAATAAAACAGCCATGAACTTTTGAAACCTAAAAAAAATGGCCAAATGATAGCAAATGTAGCAATTCAGAAAGCAGAAACAAAAAAGAAAGTGCAAAAACAGATTGAGTCATGCTGTAGTGTAGTAGACTCAGCAAGTTTTTTATGCAAAAGTTCACCTCATAGTACATTTGTGCTGCTGTAACAAAGTACTTGGGACTAGGTAATTTATAAAGAACAAAAAATTGTTTTTCATCAGTCTACAGGACAGAAAGACCAAGATGGCAGAAAACTGAAGGATGAAAATGTTTAATGCTACGTGAATCTGTTTTTAAAGGATTTTAATCCTTTTTACAAAAGAAGGGCTTTCATAACTTAATAATGTATTTTCCTCTCTTTTTTCTTCTTTCTTTCTTCTTTTCTTTTTTCTTGCCCTAAACTCACAATCTTCCTGTCTCTGCTTCCCAAGTAGCAACCTCACCTAAAATGCATCATCTATTTAAACTATCATGATGGCCATAATTTCAATGTATGAAGTATGGAGGTAATTCAAACCATACCAATCAAGAGAGCCAGTAGTATAGACTTTATTGTCATGGAGTCTCTGTCACAGCTACCCAACTCTGCAGCTGCAATGCACGTTTATGGGCATGACTATGTTACAAAAACACTTTACTTATATAAATAACAGCATTTGGAAAGGAATGGCATATTATGTTTTAGGTAGATCACAGCTTCCAGACCATGTTGTAACACTTGAGAGATGGAGATACAGCTCTGAAAACAGCAAAGCAAGATTAAATGCATACACAAAAGCCAAAAATAAATAGTATACACCTTTTACCCATCCATTGTAATGAGAAAGTCCCCACATGATGTTAAAAGACTAAAAAGCTATTTATGTGGAAAGCTAATTTCAGAGGTTGATGAATTCAGAAACAAGTAAAGACATTTGTGAGATACCTTTATAAAAAAATACTAACTTAATAAACACTTGTACACATGTGGGTGGTAAGACTTAGAAAAGAGGTTGAGACTTTTTTGGTAGATTAGTGGGTCTCACTGTGGAGAAACTAATCAGCTATGAGAAAATGTCCATAGATACTGAGACTAGATGATCTCCCAAAAAAGATCCAGAAAGAACTTCCCACAGACTACCAGTTTATATCATTCACACAATCACAGTGTTTAGTCTCTTTTCTATTTGTTCTATCTTAAGTAATCCAAATCTTAGGAAAGACAGTAATTAAAATTAATGGAGTGGAAATTTAAAGGAAAAGAAAAGGAAAATCCAAGAAATTAAATGGGTAACCAAGAAAGTTTCAAAATGTAAAATTAATGAATTCAGAAAAAGAAAATATTGCATCCATAAAATAAAAATAGGAGACTGAAAAATAAAGAACATTTAGAGAACAAAATAAAAGTTCTGAAAGTTAAAAATATAAAATAAATGAAGAATTCAACAAAAGAGTTGAAAAATACAGTTGAGAAAATCTACCAGAAACTAGAATGAGAAAATCAAAATTATTACAGGATTGCACAAGGGATTCTGTCATACTTATTTCAGATAAAGAGAACAGAGAATATTCGTGGCATTGCATATAATGCTGTAGTCAGGGGTTGAAAGGAAGACAATTACATGAAGGACACAGAATTTATAGTATTATTATATTATAGTTATCCAAAGAGTTAAATACAAGAAATGCAGGAAATCTGTCTACACACACTAAAGGCCTACAGATTATAGCTAAGGGTCTGGATCCCAAAGAAATGTCCTGCATGAGTCTAGCTGAAGACCTAGAGCCCCTGACAATGTCTCCCACAAGTCCAACAGGAGACCTAGAACCCACAAGAATTATTCATGTAATTCTATTTCATAGATATGCACTGGAAAGGTCCCAAGGTCAGCAATGGAAGCTAGAAAGTCTATACCTAGCAGGGTGAAGGATTGATCTTTGCCAGTAGACTGAGGGTTCCACACTGCAATCAGGAAGCAATGCTTAAAGTGCAGCCTCCCCTGAAAAGTACCACAGCCATCCTCAGTGACAATGATGTCCCATGCTCGCCTGACAATGAGAACAGCTGAGTTCATAACAGGAAGCCAGAGTGACAAGCTATTCCTGGAGATTGAGCAGCACACCATCTTCCCCTCTGGAGCCAGGAAGCGATGCTCAACATAAGGGCCAGAGTGAACCACAGCCATCCTCAGCAGCAGTAAGGCCCTAAGCTCCTCTGGTGATGAGAACAGCCAAGTTAGTATCAGGAAAGAAGCTCAACAAGCTTCTCCAGAAGAACCCATGACAACAGGAGAACCAATAGCACCAAACAACAACACTTAGGAGAACCCACAGTGCTACCCTTTCCTCCCCCAGCATCCTTTTTATGCTGACAACAGTCTTCAGCTGGGCCATCTACACTCTGCACCATGCTGATTCAGTTCAGCTCATGTTTAAGTTGTTCATCAGTTGTAATTCACAACATATAACTTTCATTTATTTTTATGAAATGCCCCAATTTTCGAGAAACAAAAACAAAATTATTTATAAATTTAGTGCCCTTCCCTTTTACATTGAGGAAAAACCTCCAGGCAAGCAAGAAAGAATCATTCACATCACCTTTGATTCCTTACAACATGTGTTAAGCACATTATTAAAACCAGGAAAACACTAGCAAGTTGGTTTTTCCTGTTCCAAGCAATTTAAAACAGGTTCAATAATCTCAATACAATTCATATATACATTCTCTATTCTTTTTAGGAGGATTTCATCAAGGCTTGTAAATCTAGGTTCATCTGTGCCTGGGAGTTACTAGAATTCATTCTCTCCTGTCATAATCCTAGGGATTTCTGGCAGATATAAAAGGGCCAATAGCTGCACAGGGATAGATGCCTCTAGCTATCTCTTTTACACACTTTCAACCTATTTCCTGTATCAGACCTATTGTTCACTACTTTCAGATATCTGATGACTTCAACTCCTGTACCTTTCTGATGTGCCTTCTGTTTGAGTTAAACATTAAAGACATTTTGGACATTAATGCACCAATTACTACGATCAGTTAATTTCCAAAATTTTCAACAAAGTTATGAGATGGAAAAGGGCTATAGTTATGCATAGATATTTTGTGCGAAGAAATGAAAAGTCATCTTTTAATCTTACATAGATATGGAATCCTCAGATTTACAAGTTCACCCAAGGTAAAGGGCAAATGTAGATCCATAGAAGATTATTACTTTTTCTTAAATTAGAAATTGTCATAGACCTTCAGAAACTTCCACACACTGTTCAATCACTCTCCAGCACAAAGGTTGACTTTTGATCTCCATACTGAATGCAGGTGACCAATCTGGCTCACCAAGCTCTCACTCTATAAACAATTTCTGCATCTAAATCAGATCTTTAGAATGTAGAATTATAAATAAATAAATGTATTTTCATAATTCCATTGGTTTGTAACAGTCAAGATTTCTAGAAATACTTTTAGTTCTAATTTTAAAGTAATAAAGACATTGTAATCAGGGAAGATAAACTGATCAGTGGATATCTTTGATGCATGAACTCTGACACACCTGTTTCCTCTCTTTAAAAACTTAGTAATCAGTAGTCACAGCATCAACAAAGAAATTCAGAGAAACACAAAGTGTCTGCAATATATACTGGATATGACACACTTTGATCTAGGGACTGCTTCTCTATCACATGCAAGCTTGCAAGGTGACAAAGCATTCTTTTTCTTGATATAGAAAAATAACAAGACTGATTTTATCAACAGTTGAAAAGTCAAACACTCAAGCCTGCAATTCAGACAGATCATTTATGCTACTAAAGCAAAACCTATAGATGCTGCAACAATGAGGTGGATGTCCCAAATGCCAGGAGATACTATTGTTAAAAAAATAAAGAAATAAAAAGCCAGACATGGTGGTGCACTCCTTTAATCCCAGCACTTGGAAGACTGAGGCAGGTGGATCATTGCAAATTCGAGACCAGCCTGTGCTACAAAGTGAGCCCAAGGCCAGCCTGAACTGCATAGCAAGACCCTGCCTCAAAAAAAGGAAAAAGAAGGAAGGAAAGAAAGAAGGAAGGAAGGAAGGAAGGAAGGAAGGAAGGAAGGAAGGAAAGAAAGAAAGAAAGAAAGAAAGAAAGAAAGAAAGAAAGAAAGAAAGAAGGAAAGACAGAAAAAGAAAGAAAGAAAGAAAGAAAGGAAAGAAAGAAACAAAAAAAGAGAGGGAGGAAGGAAAACAGGAATGAACAAATAAAATAGTTATATGGTCATTTGAAGTTTCTGTCTTCTACTCAAAAAAGAGAGACACACCTTGTGTTCGATAGCAAAATTTAGAAGAAAAAAAGGCATATTCTAGTATATCTTCCACTAGTGAAAGCAACAAACAAGTTGCTTAAAACAATAGAACTGAGCTAGGAGCCTGGGGTTAGATTTCAGTAATAGATTGTATGCCTAGCATGTGCAAGGCCCTGAGTAAGTAAAATCTTTATTACAAGATCATAAGACTCCCCACTAGAGCTTAGAGCCACTCTGAGTTCAAGGAGCCCAATGAAGTTGCAAATCTCAAATAATACAGTGTAATTGACTCCAGTAGTTGAAGAGATCTTACCAATTCTTTTTGAGCCTCCCCTAAGAATAGTGTCAGTAAGACTCAGATAAAGTTGAACTTTAAAAATAATTTTGAAAGCTATGTCCAGCACCTTCCTTTCATTGCTTGCTTCCATAGCCAGTCAGGACCCCAGCAGCCAGAATGGTGCAGCAAATCAAAAGCAAAAAGGCCTTTGAGCAAGCTTTGGGTGGTCCAGGAGATAAACTGGTAGTAGCTGATTTCTCAGCCGTGAGATATGGGCCTTGCAAAATAATCAAGCTTTTCTTTCATTCCGTCTCTGAAAAATATTCCAACACGTTGTTCCTTGAGGTAGATGCGGATGACTGTCAGGAAGTCACTGCAGACTGTGAAGGCAAGTGCATACCAACTTTCCAGTTTTTTAAAAAGTGTCAAAAGGTGAGTTAGTTTTCTGGCACTAATAAGGAAAAGCTTGAAACCATCATTAATGAATTAGTCTAAGTGTGTTTTCTGAAGAACATAACCAGCTATCAGCTGTTTAAGACTTTTAATTTTTTGATTTACAAAATGGATAAAGTATGGAAACTATACACTCAACTGCCATCTGATCATAAATGACAATAAAATACTAATTCTGTTTGTAAAATTTTTCAAGGGATTCATCTTTTAGAATTTTGTTATCAATTAAGAACATAGAAAATATTTAAATAAAAATGCAAAGTTATGATTTGTCTGTTTATAATTTTCATTGATGAAAAATAATAGCTGCCCTTCAGGATACCATATTTGAAAGACTGTATGTACATATTTATATTAATATTTTAGTGGAGTTTTCAACTTTAAAAAAAGGGCTAAAGGTTTTATCTAGAAATGAGAGAGAGATTCCATGTATGTGTGTGTGTGTGTGTGTGTGATCTATCTCTGAGTGCATTTTAGTGTGCTTTGACAAGGTGGAAATGGATAATTGTTTTTGCTTCTTAACATTTCAATGATATTAGAGTGCTTTCTCTTTAAAGTACTTTATGTACCATATCAACCTTTATTTGAATATCAAGAGTGTTTTTAGAAAGTATTCTAAACATTGGAAATATAGCAGCTAAGAAGATATAAAAAGCCTCTGTCCTCATCTTGGAAAATCACAGCTATGCTTTCTTCATTATAATAGACTTCAAAAAATTGTATCCAGCACTTCATATGCTCATATACTTCATGTATGTATAAGGGGTACATAAGAAATGTTTATTCAGTTGAACTGAATTTTTATTAGAATTTAACTTCTAAACTAAATAGTGTAAAAGTGTCACATAAGTGGAAATTTGGATGCAATTATTATATCAAGCAATATAAACTGATTAAAACATTATTTTTGACACACACACACACACACTTACACAACTCTGAGGCTAATGTTGGTTAGAAGCCAGTCACATTATTGTTTGTTAATTACTAAAATTAATTATCTGTTGATAACTGCTATAATATTAATACCTTTCAACTATTTACATTTGAGTCAATACAATTAAAATTCCTCCTTCTGAATTCTTCCATTTAATGCAGCTTTACAAGATATGTTTTCATAAAAATCTGGCTCATAGTAAAATTTTTTTCCCTTGAACACCAATATAGCCAGGTCCCTAGGAATTTCCCAAGTTATGGATGACTCTACAGCCAGGCCTGTCTGTTTCTTCAAAACATCTAGAACAAGATCTGAAATAAGATAAAATTTCAATCAGTGATGCTCTTTAAGGTTTTTTGAGACAAATTGTGTAGCTAGGCTGACCCAAACTCATGATGATCCTCCTGCCTCAGCCTCCTCAGAACTGCAATTATAGACATGTGCCACAATGTCTAACTACAACCAATGATTTTTAAGTTGAAGTAAATATATTGCTTTTGAGTATGAAGCCTGTGATTGCATAGCACAACAATAGATTCCTTTTGAGGGTTTTTCTTTAGAATTTGACTTCATGATAGAGTCTTGTCAACAAGATAGTGAAAAGATCTCCCACAAAGAACAATAACTGGACAATCATGCACAAATAGCCCATAGAAAAGTTTAATTTCCCATGCATCATCCTGCTCCCCAGACCAGCACTGCTTAGCACAGAGGAAGCTCCCTGACTCATGAGTTCCTCTCACAGGGAAGAGAATAAACCAACTTCTTCATCCTTTTGGAGTACTGCCTGAGTGACTTCGTTTAGTTTCATCCCGTCCAGATCACTGGGAAACTAGCACAGGAAAGGGGCCTCTGGGGACAATGGGAACAGAGTTGGGGCTACTGGTATCAGCCAGGTAGTGTGCTATTCCAGTGGCCTATTCTGCACAAGAATTCTGCAGCATTCTCAGCTAAGGACTTCAAAAACCTCACAGTGTTGGAGACCACTACGAAGCAGCTCTGAGCAGGATTTAAACTTTACTAATTGGCTTTCTATGTTCATCTGTGAGTCTGGCCTAGGCCTCTGCCCTTGCCTGGCGATGGGAGCTGATTCATAGTAAGTGAACCTCTATGAATCCCTGGTCCTGGCTGAGGCCTATAGTAGCCTGTGAGACCAGAGATACCTCAAAGGGCAAGATAAGGTCACAGCTGCGGACACTCTGGCTCCAACCCCAATTAACATGGTAGATACTGCAGCTGCAAAGATTACTCCTACAGTCTCACTTCTACCACGTCTTCATGATAAGACAGTGCTACTGAACTGACTTGATTCATAACTTGGAGAAGTCCTTGAAGTGACTCCCAAGGTCCTGCTCATTGCCTGCACTTTCCTCAGTCTCTCTGCCCTTTGTCATTGGTCCTAATATAAGTGGACTGACCCAGAGAATCTTTTGTCTTTACCCCGAGGCTTCGAACTTAATTAAAGGGCTTTGACCCTCCTGGAGCCTTAAAGTCATAAAATTTGTCTCTTTTTATTTAACCTCCGCCATACACTCATTTGGGAGATCAGGGATCTAGGACTGAAGCCGATACAGCTTTCACTACAGAATATCCCACAGTGTTTGCCGCCACAGCCCAGAGAGGACCTAAGTGATTGAAACCAACGTCAAGCAGAGAGAACCAAGCAGTCATCTCCTGACTGCAGTTGCCTGTAACCCTACTGATGCATGCCGCCAGCCCAGCCAAACAGCTGGCCCCAAATCCCATTGCCAGACTCCACCACCATGCTCATTTCTGCAGCCACATGCATGCACACAAAAAGTACCAGTCCCTACAGCTATGCACTTTTTACTCAAAATCTAGTTTGTCAGATATAATACTACTACTCTCACTATCTTTTGATTTCCAGATCCATGGAGTATCTTTCCTATCCCTTGGGAAAATTTATACTTTCAAATCTTAAAACTTAATCTTTAACTTGTTTTGAATAAATTTTGTGTGTTTTTTAATGTTTCCTTTGATATTTTATGTTACTAGTACATGTTGCAGTGCCTAATGATTACATGCCTCGTGGGGATTTGGCACATGTATATAATATGTCTTAATTCTTTTTACTGTCCCTTCTCTTCCTTCCCCTCTCTCCATCTCTTGATCCCCTTCCTATTTACAAAAGATCTCTATTTCTTATTATCTATCTTTTGTTTTGATCTATAATTTGAGTTTCTCATGTAATATTTAAGTTTGTGTGCCTGGTTTATTTCACTTGACCTTCTCTCAAGAGATTTTTCTTCAAATGACTCAAATTTATCCTTTTTTATAGCACAGTAGTACTCTTGTATCAAAATACCACATTTTCTTTATCTGTTCATCTGTAGGCAGATACATAGGCCACTTTCAAGTTTTAACTATTATATGTTGTACTGCTATAAATATTGATATGCATGTAGCACTATAAGATCTCATTTAGTCCAATAAATTTTATTAGATTGTGTCACAGTTTTATTCTTCTTTTTCCATGCCCCTCTCTTTCAGAAAGATACCTGGAAGGAATAGATAAAATGGAATTTTTATTTTCAGATTCTTGAAGCATATCCATACTGATTTCTGTAGTAGTTATGCTAGTTTACATTCCCTCAGACAATGTAAGTTTACTTTTTTGCTTTAGCCCTGCCAGCATTTTCTATTATTTGTCTTTTTGCTTTTGTTTTGTTCCTTTAATCATTGTTTTTAGTGTATAAATCTGCAACCTCCTGAATATGTTATTGTTTTTGATACTATTATAAATGGAACTATTTTCTTGATTTCTTTGACAGAGAATTGTTGATGAATTTAGAAAGACTACTGAAATGTATTCTGCAAGTTTACAGCATTCATTCATTAATTCTAATGATTTTGAGAGGAGGTTTTAGGGTTCACATATATAATAAGGCCATGTTATCTGTAAAGAGAAAACATTTACTCTTTCTTTTCTGATCTGAACACATTTTATTTCTCTCTTGTCTAATTGTTATATACTCTGTACTGTGGTGAATAGATATAAGATAAATGGTCATTCTTGCTTTATTCCTGATCTAAGAAGAAAAGTTTATAATTTTCAACAACCAGTATGATGTTAGCTGAAATATTTATCATTTGTGACCTTTATTGTGTTGAGATGCATCACTCCTATGCTTAATTTGTTGAGAGATTTTAACAAAAAAGAATGCTGAACTTTGTCACATTCTTTTTCTGCATCTGTTGAGATGCATTTTTATCCTTCATTTTGTTACAATAATGTACCATGTTGCTTTATTTGCATATGTTAAAACATCCTTGCATCAAAAAATTGCATTTATTCATGGTGAATGATCTTTCCAATGTGTTTGCTGATTGCTTGCTGGAAATCTGTTGAGTATTAATACATGGACATTCATCAGTTATGCTGACTATACTGGTCAGCTTTTCCATCACTGATACACAATAAATTATACACACAATTTGGAGGAGGAAAGGCTTAATTTAACTAACAGTTTGAAGGAGTTCAGTCCACAGTTGACTGGCTCCAAGGCAACAACTTCATGACAGACGAACATAGTGAAACAAAAACTGTTTGGCTCATGTCAGCCTGGAAGCAAGATTACAATAACTAAAATTGCCAAACAATAGAAGTAAGAATAAAATTCTTTCACAATTGTAACACCAGTACCTCAGATTTTTCACACTAGTCCCTCTTCACTGGTTATCACTGTCTGGTTTCAGTTAGTTGCACAATTTATTCCTGTGGTTGAGACAATTACCTGTCCAAAGCCTTGAGGACTATTGTTCCCTCCTAACTCATGTCCTGATTTTGAATTTGAGCTATACCATCGCTGCATATCTCTGTGGATAAGTTTTCAGGGTAAGTACCATAGACCTCTGTATCTTCCCTCACAGATTTTTCTTGCCTTAATATGGCCAACAGACTTCTATCCTGGGTGCTGACTGATGTTTTCTGTTTCAGATTTGCTTTTTCTCTCTCTTGCTTCTGACAGTAACACCATTGCCAGGTTGTGTTCTGATTTTCATGGAACTAGTTTCATGCCCTTCTGCCCTT